GATTATTCACAAAGATATTGTAGTACAAGCTATGTGCGGCTCAAAAATTATTTAAAAAATGCAAGGAATATATTGAAAGATGCAAGGTCCATAGCGAACGTGACCGCATTGAAATCTAAGTTAGCTCCTAAAATACAACTTAAATCGAAAAAAAAGGAGTTAACTCAAAGTTATTTTAATATTTAGAACATTATATTATAGAATCAAGTAGGTTAAACGACAAAATTGTTAAAATAGATTATGCAAGCGCGGGGGGATCGGAGTTGGGACTCAAAGAAATAAATACCTTAGGATCTTCTCTGTGATAAAATTGTTGAGTCCTGATCCATCTCGAGCACAAGTGATCCCAAACAGTCCGCGCCAACGCTAGATAAAAATCTCTGGGCGTTGCGACATTCCTATCCTTCACAATATCAAAGTGTAAATGACGATTAAAGGCATGCTTGAGAGTAGTGACATCTTCTGTAAGTGCTATGCCTCGTACACTAATCTGCTTCCTCTTCTCCAAATCCATCTGCTCGACCGACATATTTGGGCTTAATAAAAGTCAGAGGCGACTAGCTTGAGACTATATAGCAATTCAACCAAGGTGGGCAAGGGGTCAGACGGTCATTAGTGCATCTACTCTTATTATTAATCAAAATTATTATTTATATAGAGTGTACTGTTGTAGTTTCTAAGCTTTTTAATAAAAAATATTTTTTTGATTTATTAGATAAGGTTTTTGCTTTGTTCTAACTTTACAGTTGAGTAATTATTACCTTCACCTTGAAAATATAGCTCATTATCATATCCCAAATCCAAATGAAAGACCTAAAGATATTTTGCATAAACTGTTACTGTAGTTGATAAGATTTAATGTAGGCATTAATATTATGATGTCTTTGTATCGTCTGAACAAGGATGGAATCTCAAGAAATATATTTTAAAACGAATTCGAGCCTTTTTTTGCTTTAGGTACATAATAGTCACTTAAATATTATGTTAGTAAATTTTTAATCAAGCTCTAAGGTTGGTGACATCTGTGACTCTGCATCAAACCAAGGCAATTTTTTCTTGGGCTTCCCTAAGTCCTATGTATTTCCAAAAGCATTAAAATAGATACCGACAACATTTAAGGTTTACATATATTTTAAATAAGTGAACCCAATGTAAATAACCTGAATTATCTTTTATTTTAAAATTAGGAAG